TAGGGGGTGTGCAGGAGGCAGCTGATTGATGTTTCTAACTCTCTATCCCTCTCCCTTCCTCTTTGTAAAAAAAATCAATAAAATATATTTTAAAAAAAAGAAAAAAGAAAGAAAGACAAATACAGGCCCGGCTGGTGTTGCTCAGTGGTTTACCCTCAACTTATCTACCAGGAGGTCATGGTTCGATTCCTGGTGAGGGCACATGCCCTGATTTTGGGCTCCATCCCCAATAGGGGGCGTGCAGGAGGCACCTGGTCACTGATTTTCTCTCATCATTGATGTTTCTAGCTCTCTCTCCCTTTCCCTTCTTCTCTGAAATCAATAAAATATATATTTTAAAAAAATTATTAAATTAAAAAGATAAGCCAAAGCTATTTTTAAGCTATAGTCTCAGTGCCCTAGAAATTTATGTTTCACAAAGACTTGAATAGCTATTTATATAATTAATTTGGCAGTGACTCATTAAAGAAATGTATTTCTGTTCTCGGGTCATCTTGAAAGCACCAGTTTCAATCACAGCACTTACTTTCAGACATATTTTCCTCTCTCACTCATAATTAATAATTTCCTTTGGAGGAAAGCCCCGTAAAATGAAAATGAAATGCCATTGCCCTACTTTAAATCTTCCCATTGGGCACCAGGTTAGCTTGGGAGGGAGACTTGTCTCGAGAGGCAGGTGTCCCTTCTTCTCTGTGTTATAAGTGTGTGTTCCTCATATTTAATTAGATTTCTCTTGTTTATTACAGTATTGTTTTCATCCATGTCTGAGAATAATATTGCTGACAAGATCACTTCCTTATTCAGGGATATGTAGATGTAGATGTCAAATTTCATTAGTATTAACCTTCAGGGTATTTTCAAATCCTTTTATGTAGTACAAAAATATTGTGTAGTGAATATATTTCAAAATAGGTTTGGGCTACCTAGGAATAATTTAACAGAAATATTCTTTTGAGTATTTATATCAGCTGTGTCTGCCTATGATAGTCTCCAGGTACGGTCATTAATAAAATATCTACCTATATAAAAGCCTAAGTAACTGTCGCAACCGAACAGATGACTGAACAGGCTGCGTGGGGCGACCAGGCCAGCAGGGGGTTAGTGAGGGCTGACCAAACGACTGAGCAGCAGGCTATGTGGGGCAACCAGGCTGGCAGGGGGGGAAGTTAGGGGTGACCAGGCGCAGGTGAGCAGTTAGGAGCCAGTGGTCCCGGATTGTGAGAGGGATATTCCAGAGGGATTGGGCCTAAACCAGCAGTCGGAACTCCCCCGAGGGGTCCCAGATTGGAGAGGGTGCAGGTTGTGCTGAGGGGACTTCTTCTCCTCCCCCACCCCGTGCACAAATTTCATGCATCAGGCCTCTAGTATATGGATGAAATCTAAAGGTGCTGAGTTATGTTGCCATGTAACTGAGCGTTAACTTTGCTGGGCCTTTCTCTCCCATAAACTGGGGTAAAACTGTCTTTCTCATAGGAACATCATGAGGATTAAATGATCTCGTGAATGTACAACCCTCAGTGTACAACTAGCACAGTGTCTAGCACATAGCAAGTGCTTAATAAATTGTAACTATTATTATTTCTTTTTTACTGCTTATTACTTCAATTTTTCTCTTCTAAAATGAGTATTCTGGGGTTGTCTCCCCTTTTCCTATTTTTTGTGATTAGTTGATACCTTATGTCCCTGCTCAGACTTGGGTAAAATTATGAATTTGGCAAAAATTGAGTTACACTCCCCTTCCAGTGCATCTCATTCCCTTCAACCCCTTAGCACCTGCCCCAACAGCTCTCATCCAGCACCCCCAAAAGGACCCATTTCTGAAAGCTCTGGTTTTGGCCAACTTTCTCACAGCCCCCCGACCCCCCCTGCCAAAGGTGTAGCAGATATTGGCTTAAAGTGGCAGCATGGAGGCCCTCATAGTAGATGAAAATAATAGAGCTGGGACTTTTGACAGCTTCATTCTTAACCAGTTTGTTGATTTCTTTGGCCACGTTCATTTACTTAGACCCCAAATCCACCATCTATGGGTTCTTGTGAAGATCAAATTATAATGTAAGTGCAAGGACTTTTAGGAAAGGCTATGCAGATAATAGCCATTATGAAATCTCATCTTTAACAATTCAGTTCAAACTACTTCTTCTAAAAAATTGTTGCTGATAGAATGCTACCACAGCCCCACTCTCCCACCCCAGAACTGATCATACTCTTTAAATATATATATATAATTTTAATTGATTTCAGAGAGGAAGGGTGAGAGAGATAGAAACATCAATGATGAGAGAGAATCATTGATTGGCTGCCTCCTGCACACCCCACACTGGGGATTAAATCACAACCTGAGCATGTGCCCCGACTGGGAATCTAACGGTGACCTCCTGGTTCACAGGTCAATGCTCAACCACTGAGCCATGCCGGCCGGGCGATCACACTTTCCTGAGCCCCCATTGTACAGACCCCTATCATAGCATCTGCTTGTTTGCATTTCTGCCTTCACACATTAGACATTCTTGTCTTAAATTTATAAAATGCTGTGATTTTTACACTCCCACTGAACAAACAGAACCAGCATTGAGTCTTGTTTCAAACTGGTGTAGCTGATTTGTATGCTATAATGTATCCTATTCTACCATGTTTCCCGTAATCTCAAACTGTTCTCCTTTCCTCTGATGTATTGAAACAAAAACGGGGGAGCATCAGTAACTGTCAACAGTAAAGATAAATTTTTCAAAAACTGAGGAGACACAGATCATTTCAAGACCTGGCCTGTTACGATGTGGAGGGAAGAGGTCACATCTTAGCAGGGCCTCCCAGAAATTATGAGACCATGTTCTACTTAGCTCCAAATACCCCGTGCCTGACACAGTGTATGAAACATAGCAGGGCAATAATAACAGTTGAATAAATAATTAAAAGAAAATTATTTACTGGGGACTCAGGAAGACCCCAAACTTTTAAGATCTAAGTGAATCTCTAACAGTAAAGATTCAGATTTCATAACAGGAGACAAAGAAACAACAACAATTCTCCCCCTCCTCCTCCTCCTCCTCCTTCTCCTCCTCCATCTCCTGGCACTCCATAAATCATATTATGTAGTGTGCATTAGCCTCTCTTATTATTGTAAGAGCTTTTCCACACAAAGTGTGAGGCCATACAGGAACTCTAAAAAGCACACCTTGTCATGTAAGTCTTCTTTGAAAAAGATAGAAAAAACGTGTTGCTGTTGTTATTGAGTTCTTTCTGTGTTTAGATATCCAAGTTTGAACTATAATGAACATTGGTTTGTTATGACTTTAATCATAAATTTTTCCTACACATGAATTCAAACGAATCAAGCTCTTCCTATGGGTTTGTTTTGTTTTCCCCTAGCAGTCCTGTCTTAAATAACATGGGGTCTAGTCTTCTTTGAAATTTTCTCTGGTTTCATAATGCAGCTTTATGATTGGTTCTCACCATCTGGATCACACTGGGAAAGGGGAAAGAACTGGGCTTTCATTTTGCAATTATTTTAACCTTGGCCAATGTAAACTTTCTCCAGCTTCCAGTGCAGGTCAGCAATTTAAAGTTGCAATATCCATAGAAATCATATCTTGTTGTCCTGTCCTAGAAGTTCTGAGTTAGTACAGGGCGGAACTGGAGTCTCAGGCAGAGTGTGTGCGGACCCTGCCACCGCTTAATTGAGAGGTTAAGGGGACTTACTCCACCCAACCCAAAATGGTGGGTGTGCAGGAAGAGCTGCATAAATCCTAAATGTTGGATTTAGGATTTATACAGCTCTCTTAAAAATCTTAAATTTAAGAGTGCAGAGGACATTTTTGGCATGAAATGTTGTTTCCTCTCTTCTTTGGCCAATGAAAAAATTTAAGTTGTTGTTCCCTGCCTTTTCTTTTGAGAGTAGTTAGTCTGTATATGAGAATTGTTTTTGAGAATTTCATTTTCCACATTGTAACTCTAATTAAATCTCATCCATAGAGATGTGATTTGTATTTCACAAATTCCCCTTTTCCCCATAAGATAGGAGATGCTTGTTTGAGCACATTTAATGTGGACTCTTCACCCCAGCGTTCCATCCTTTGCACTCTTCCTGCTCTTAGTCCCTGACTGGTTTCTCACACTTACCTGGCATTCTGGTTGGATAGAATTGTATCTCCTTTATTTGCTAAGTGTCTCCACTGAGGAGTCATTGCTCACCTGTTTGTTGTAAGGTGTTATTAATAGATGTAAAAGTCCTGAAGTCTGCATGATTTCTACTCTTTTTTTTTTCACATATAAGATTGGATTCAAGGTTATCCCTGGAACAATGTCACTCTCACTCACTCGCCTTGCATTGGGAATAACCCTGAGTGTGCCCAGAGGGATGTGTCAGGAATAGGAATGTCATCTGTCATGTGTTGCATGGAAGGAGAAACAAAAGGTGGAAAAGCTCAATGTTAGAGAATAAGCTCTTTGATCAAAATGTCTGTGTCTAATTTTGTGTCTGACAAATTTCCAAGATGAGTTAATGAGTACAACCCAATAGGTTAATACGTTCCCCAGACCATTATTCCAAAGAAGGAGAAGACGTGAGGCATTTTGCGGTTGTTTTTGGCATCACATTTCAAAAAGTGAATTTCCTTCTTGTAAAAGGCTTACTGCACGTAGAAACTGAGGAGGGCTTTGCTCGTTGCCGGCCAGGACCACCATCCAGAGCCATTAGGTACAAGGGTCACTCTCATAACCCACCATCGCAATATCACACCTTATGTTTTTCTGCCTAGTGTGGTTCTGGTAAAATTGTTATCACAAGTTAGTACCCTTAAGTCTAACTTATTCAGAAGGAATAGGTGGCTGATATTGTCATTTGAGGACTAAGAAATATTTGTCTAGACATCTGATCCAATCTGTATTTTTATTGAATGTGTAATTGGTGAGAAAATAGCAAAGACAAATTTAAATGCTTGCATCTCTAACCTTGTCACAGCGTCTGAGCATTCATTCATCATCATTATCTTGGGTTTCTGCAGCCAGCAGACTTCATAGGAAAGCAAGCACTGAAACAGATTAAAGCCGAGGGGCTGAAACGGAGACTGGTCTGCCTCACCTTGGCCACGGACGATGTGGATCCGGAGGGAAATGAAAGCATCTGGCACAAGGGCAAGGTGAGTGCTGAGGCCCTCGATGCAGGGGCCATGTGGCTTTTCTACAAGGGAAACTCTCCTTGTCTGTTTCCTTTTAGAGCTTTTGCTCTTTATTTATCTCTCCGAGAGACGACACACTTGATTTCTCAGCTGACATTCGAGAAACAAATCAATTAACTAAAAGAAAAACAAAATGCTACGCATTTTTGAAAACATAAAATTCATATGATTTGATTAAAGAAAATAAACCCAAGAACGTGAAGTACATTACACAATGAGGAAGGTATGTTTAGAGGGTAAAGTCATCTACTTGTTTGCCACATCCCTATTTGTGAATGCAAGAGATAAATCCTACATAATAAAAGCCTAATACGCTAAGTGTCCGGTCGTCCGGTTGGCTGTTCAACCAATCAAAGCATAATATGCTAATGATATGCTAAGGCCGCTCAACCAGTTGCTATGACGTGCACTGACCACCAGGGGGCAGATGCTCCAGCTGGTAGGTTAGCTTGCTGCTGGGGTCCGGCCAATCAGGACTGAGGGAGACAGGCCGGACACACCCTGGAGCCCTCCCTCGGTCCCTCCCTGGCTGGCCACCCTCCTGTGACCC